TTACTAGGCTTTTTGACCACTACAGCCTTTAATTAATAATTAATTATTAATTCATCATTTAACCAAAACATATCACCTATTTGTCCTTGTTTTACTGTGCAGAACGTAAAATAACCGGATACATAAGTGGTTACCCGGGTAGTCAGGTGGTATACCCGAGTATTGTTCAAAAACAAGGAATTGGCTTGAATTATTTACCGGGTAGGGAGGAGGCTACTCGGGTAAATGTCGTGGGTAGAGTTTTTAAAAAACCTAGTGTTGCGTATTATCGGCAAGTGTACCGATCGTTCCAAGTAATAAGAATGATGAGTCGAGTATCGTCTCCACGAGGATTGAGGCACCGAAGTTATTATAACTATTCCTCTCTTGTTGGATTAATAAAAATGGTTAAGGACAAGTATGGTTTGTGAAATAAATGATAACAATTCAAGAAAATGTAAATGGTTAAAAGGTTCTTTTAAAATTCAAGGACAAAGATTAAAAGTTGAGAAATTAATTGAGAGAATATTGCGGTAAAAAGACGCCAACACCTTTATGATCCCCACCTTGTAACCTGAGTTAACGTTTACATTCAATTATGCAATTGATCAAACGATTCACTATCTTTTATTTAATTGGTTAAGCCTTAATTCCTTAATGATTTTAACCTTATTAACCCTATTAGGATCCTAATCCCTTAGAAACCCATTTTTAAGTTAAACATTCGAATAAGTGAATCTTTCACGTTTGAGGTTCATATAGCCTATCCTTAGTGCATACATGAACAGTTATCATACCTCCTGTCAGGAATTAGAGTTCTAATATTCCTATTGAAAACCCTAACCCTCACAATCCTAACAGAGTGAAGAATTATAAGATGAAGAACAAGGTAAAATAGCTCAATTAACATAGATGAATATAAATTTAATCAAGCTACAAGGGGTTCACAACAAGGGTTGTGACCCTTACCACAATAATGAGAAATAGCCAGACATATTCATGTCTGACAAAATCAATACAAAAGAAAATAAAATTCAGAACCTAAAGAAGAGAAAGAAGATGAAGATCTTCCGTCTTGATCGTTCGATTCTCTGAAACTCCAAGAAGCTCCCAAGAATTCTCCCTCTCTTTGTTGTTTTTCTTCTCCGTTTTGTCAAAAAGTGTTTCCTACCTCTGTTTCTGATCCTTTTATTAGGTTTTGGGAAAACCTACTTTCAATTGCTCTCCAATTGAGCCTCCTTTTTGAGTAATTCGCATCAGATTAAAATTAAAAGTATCGCCCACGCACTTTGCACCAACTCTGGCACAATTTGCATGGGAAAACAGAGTGGAAGCTGTCAAATGGCGCACTTTGCGCCAGGTCTCGCGCAAATTGCGCCAAGCCCGCGCATTTTGCGCCAAGATACAGGAACGAAATGGATCAAATAGCGCAATTTGCGCCAAGTCCCGCGCAAATTGTGCCAGCTGGAAAACTACACTTCTCTCATTCACTTCTTTTTTGGTGTTTCCTGCTATTAAAACACATAAATTGAGTGAGAGAATCATTGAGAAGGAATAATCAATATTTCTTGCATTTATGACTTATTTTCACATATTTATGATTAATTCATTGCTTCTTTTAAGTTAGAAAGCATCATATGCTAGACGCACATCAAACAATTCCCAGATTTAGATGTTGTTGTCCTCAGCAACAAACAGGATTAAAACATGGGAAGCAAGATTCAATTAATCAGGCATAACATTGCACAGACAATCATAACGATTACTATACAAAGAATGAATGATTTCCAAGTCAAAACTTAAAACGATGCTTATCAACTTCATTCAAATAACAGAGTCTAACTTGATTACCCCTCACAAGACATAATATTCACTCATCACTCAGTGTTTGGGGGTATTCATCATCACTCATTGCATAACAGCCGTTGCACTACCATAGGCTTGATCTTATTCTCAAGTTTTTGAAGATGAGGAACGCCAACACATGCATGACTGATCAAAATGGCTTCTCAAAGTTATAACTTGGCTCAGCTTAGGGTTAGGATCATTTGGAAAGTAGATAAATAATCGTTGAGATTGAAACACCATTTTCATTAAGACTCAATCATATCTCAATTCAGGTTTCAGCTCCACTATTTATTTGAATTCATGATTCATCCTTTTTCTCACCTTTTCTTACATCATTGCTTTTCAATTTTTCAATTTATTTTTCTTTCCTCTTTGAATTCATTTGAGGACTATTCTTTCCTTTTCCTTTTTCAACTGCTTAACTTCTAGTGGAGCTTACCTCAATCACTTCTAACTTTTGATTATTGACATTTCAATCTCAATCAAGGTAAATTCTGGTGAAAGTGGTTTAGACAGTTTAATCAGGTAATTGAACAAAAACAGTCTCAGGCTCAACATGGCTAGCAATGGAAAAATTTTCAGGTGGCTATTTGGCCATAAGCTAGTAGAATAAAATGCCTTTATCACTTCAATCAACACATGTATTGGAGAGAATTAGATCAAGTTTTAGAGTACTACTGCAGTGAGGGCTCTCTAAAAAAAATTTAACTGTATAGGCTCAAACCTCACTAGCTGTGGTATCAAACTAGACTCTTTCTAATTACATTTCAAGCATCATTATCCATTATTAACATAGAAATCAACAAACGAGCAATCATAATCTCTATTCATGCTCTATGCAATGCCATGACAATAATATATATCATACAACACTTCCTTATTTTCAATCAAGGAATTGACTGAGTAGCACCTCTAAATCTGAACATACTTTCACATATCAATTATTACTAAAAAAAAATTAAAACTAAAACAAAAATAAATTGGAAAGGTTAAAATAACTCCCCTGAAGTATACATGAATTCTCTGACTTTCTGTTGCTCCTCTGTATGTGATACCTCATGATAACGCATATGCGGTCCCAATTCCCAGATTTAGAAGATTGTTGTCCCCAGCAATAGACTACAAATCAGAAATAAGGAGCACGTAATAATAATAAGTAGCAGCATAAGAAATTCATCAAATATACATCTCCATGGATAAAAACTTAAAACTAAGATCAAATAAAATAAACAAAAACAAAAACTAAAACTAAATGTAGCAAAATAAAATAAAAGCATAAATTCATTGGGTTGCCTCCCAACAAGTGCTTGTTTAATGTCATTAGCCTGACATACTCTATGTGATCATGGTGGCTGGTAACTTGGGCTCAGTGATGACATCATACCCTTGCTCAGAATTTGTGTCATGCCATGGTTATACTCATATGCACGTGGATAAGGAGGAGGGCTTTCAGGAACTTTAAACTTAGTTTTCACATGTTTTTTCTTGCTCTTGGGATTTTCCATCTTAACATTTGGCTTGTGTTCTTCATGTTGTTGATGGACTTCCTTCTTGTTCCCTTTCTCAACCTTTTTCTCCGCAATGTAGTTGACTTGATTCTTAGGTTGAGAAGCAGGCAATGGAGGAGCTTCATTTATAAGTACCTTGAATATTGCTTACTCTTCATCCACGCGCATTATCAACTAAACCCGTAGGTACATCGATTAATGCTCATGAGGTTGCTAAGAATGGCCTCCCGAAGATCATAGGCACACTGGCATCTTCATCAATGTCAAGAATAACAAAATCGGCAGGAATTAGAAATTTGTCTACCTTGACTAGCACATCTTCCACAATACCATGTGCTTGCTTTGTTGAGCGGTCGGTCAGTTGAACATTCATCCTAGTTGGCTTCACTTCATTAATTCCCAGCTTCTTCATCAGGGTTAATGGCATCACATTAATGCTGGCACCAAGATCGCATAAGATTCTCTCTACAGTCGTCTTCCCAATGGTGCATGGAATACTGAAGCTTCCTGGATCCTTCAACTTTGGAGGCATGTTTTTCTGTAAGATTGCACTACACTCCTCTGTTAGTGTAATCAGTTCATCCTCTGTGAGCTTCCTCTTCTTAGATAATGTTTCCTTCAAGAATTTGTCATATGAAGGCATTTGCTCTAGAGTGTCTGCAAAAGGAATATCAATCTGCAATTTCTTAAAAATATATAAAATTTTAGACAATTGCTTCCTTTGCTCATTTTGCTTGGGTCTCATTGGATATGGAGTTTTCTCAAAACGTGAGAAATCCCATTGTTTCTTTTGAACTGCAGGAGGCTGTTCCTTTGCTTCTTTTTTATCCTTTTGAGCTTGTTCATCCTTTCTTGTAGAAACTTCAACTTCCTCTTTTTCTAGCTCCTCATTCCTTGTAGTGATAACATTGCATAGCTCCTTTGACACTGCATTGCTCTTTTCTTGACTCCTCTCAGCTAGCTGTCTTGAAAGTTGGCCAATTTGAGTCTCCAAGTTTATGATGGATGCATCTTGATTCTTATGGTAGGATCTTATTTCATTCATGAAAGCATCAGTAGTCTGGATATGATCATTAGTGGTCTTAGAAAGCTGCAACATTGCTTTCTCCAATTCTGATGGCTCCTTATGTGGGAGAGGAGGAGGTTGCAGGTAATTGTTGGATTTATAATCCAAACCCCCCTTGATTTCTCCTTTGAAAGTTACTTCCTTGGGCACCATTCTGATTCCTTTGAAAGCTTTGGGTATTCTGTGGTGGCCTTGGATCATACCAAACTCCATTGACTTGGAACGGCTCAGCTCCCATGAGTGTTGGGCACTCATTAGTCTCATGCTGACTTTTGCAGTACTCACAGTTAAGTGAATTAACGTGAGCTGTTGAGACTTGCATCTTATCTAGCTTGGCATTCATACTAGCTAGCTGTTGAGAAATCACTTTTTGCTCAGCTAGTGACGCATCATTGTTCCCCAATTGTATAAGTCCTTTCTTTGGCTGAACAGATTGGGCTGCCATAGATGCATTCTCATTCCTTGCCGTTAAATCAAGCAGCTCTAAGGTTTCAGCTGCAGTCTTCTTTCCTATGGTCCCACCAGCTACACCATTGACAATCATTCTGGAGTCTGGTGTCATCCCATTATAGAAGACTCTAACCTTATTTGTGTTTGGCAAGTCATATTGAGGGCACTTACGGATCAGTTCCTGGAATCTGGTCCAGGCTGCACACAAATTCTCTCCTGGTTGTTGAGTAAAGTTGGTAATTTCATTTACCAACTTGTTGTACTTTTCCATAGAAAAGTGCTCAGCAAAGAATTTAGCTGCCAACTCTTCCCATGTTCTGATGCTGTTGGGAGCTTGTCGATCCAACCATCTGAGAGTTTTCCCGGTCACAGCAAACGGGAACAGTCGGAGTCTGATTGCATCATCTGATACTACGTGGTGCTTGGTTGTATCACAGATTCTTATGAATCTGTCTATGAAGTCATAAGGATCTTCATAGTCTTCCCCACCAAACTGAGTTTTCTCCACCAATGTGATCAGTGATGGATGGATGTCATAGTTGTTGGCATTAATCGGTGGCCTGACAATGCTGGAATTGGGCCATGTAAACAATGGAGCCAAGACTAACTCCATCAACTCTTCTTCCGGTTGTGGATTGGCTTCTGCCATCTTTAATTCTACCTCGAATTGTGAAGTAGAAGTTTTTGCTTGCCTCCTCTGCTTGGTAAGTTGTCTTATTCTTCTTGCAATCCTTTCTATTTTTGGATCGTAGATCAAAGTTTCAGGATCAATTGTACCACGCATAAACTAAAGCAAGCAGATTAGTAACACAAAATCCAATCAAGAAAATCAAAAGTTATTAATAAACTTGGCATAGTCAATCTTCGGCAACAGCGCCAAAAACTTGTGGCGAATTATCGGCAAGTGTACCGATCGTTCCAAGTAATAAGAATGATGAGTAGAGTATCGTCTCCACGAGGATTGAGGCATCGAAGTTATTATAATTATTCCTCTCTTGTTGGATTAATAAAAATAGTTAAGGACAAGTATGGTTTGTGAAATAAATGATAACAATTCAAGAAAATGTAAATGATTAAAAGGTCCTTTTAAAATTCAAGGACAAAGATTAAAAGTTGAGAAATTAATTGAGAGAATATTGCGGTAAAGAGACGCCAACACCTTTATGATCCCCACCTTGTAACCTGAGTTAACGTTTACATTCAATTATGCAATTAATCAAACGATTCACTATATTTTATTTAATTGGTTAAGCCTTAATTCCTTAATGATTTTAACCTTATTAACCCTATTAGGATCATAATCCCTTAGAAACCCCTTTTTAAGTTAAACCTTCGAATAAGTGAATCTTTCACGTTTGCGATTCATGTAGCCTATTCCCTGTGCATACATGAACAGTTATCTTACCTCCTGTCAGGAATTAAAGTTCTAATATTCCTATTGAAATCCCTAACCCTCACAATCCTAACAGAGTGATCAATTCTATAAGAATTATAAGATGAAGAACAAGGTAAAATAGTTCAATTAACATAGATGAATATAAATTTAATCAAGCTACAAGGGGTTCACAACAAGGGTTGTGACCCTTACCACAATAATGAAAACTAGCCAGACATATTCATGTCTGACAAAATCAATACAAAAGGAAATAAAATTCAGAACCTAAAGAAGAGAAAAAAGATGAAGATCTTCCGTCTTGATCGTTCGATTATCTGAAACTCCAAGAAGCTCCCAAGAATTCTCCCTCTCTGTGTTGTCTTTCTTCTCCATTTTGTCAAAAAGTGCTTCCTTCCTCTGTTTCTGATACTTTTATTAGGTTTTGGGAAAACTTACTTTCAATTGCTCTCCAATTGGACCTCCTTTTTGAGTAATTCGCATCAGATTAAGATTAAAAGTATCGCCCACGCACTTTGCCCCAACTCTGGCGCAATTTGCATGGGAAAACAGAGTGGAAGCTGTCAAATGGCGAACTTTGCGCCAGGTCTCGCGCAAATTGCGCCAAGCCCGCGCATTTTGCGCCACTGCCAGCATATTTTGCGCCAAGATACAGGGACAAAATGGATCAAATGGCGCAATTTGCGCCAAGTCTGGCGCAAATTGCGCTAGCTGGAAAACTGCACTTCTCTCATTCACTTCTTTTTTGGTGTTTCCTATATTAAAACACATAAATTGAGTGAGAGAATCATTGAGAAGGAATAATCAATATTTCTTGCATTTATGACTTATTTTCACATATTTATGATTAATTCCTTGCTTCTTTTAAGTTAGAAAGCATCATATGCTAGACGCATATCACCTAGCAGCCCCCATTTGCAAAACCCATAAAGGGGTACTCAGGTAGAGTTGCTGGAAGTGCGAATTGGGTGATTCCCTCACCAAATCTTGCAGACAATCTTCTTGTTTCCGATCATCCTTCACGCACCATTATTGCTGCCTTCTACCGATTCAATTCCAATAAAGGTACATTTTTTTCCTTTTTAACGATGCATGCTGATTTTGATTTGTTTGTCACATTAAAGTGATAAATTATTGCGTTTTTTTAGTTTGTGTGGTTAAACATTGCATTCTGACCATTTAACTTTTAAAAGTCGTAACCCTAACCCTAACCCTAACCCTAAAAGTTCTGATTCTGATTCTGCATTTTTTTTCAGTTTCATAGTGTGACTGCACGGTTGATAGACGAGTTTCAGAGAAGAAAGCGGGGGATACCAAGAGGATGACCAAACGTCGACATGATGGGTCGTCATCCTCTCAACCCCAGGCTGCTATGCATCAGGCTCCGGACTTGTTGTTCGGATATTTATTTGAGGATGACAGTAAGGCACACGAGAGGTTTGTGAAGTCCTTCATGAGCCGCAAGATTTGCGAGCCGAAATCACTGGATTTGGCCTTCTTCAACTTGGAGTGGTTTGACATTGTGTCACTTCTTGAGTAGACACATTTGCTGCTGGTGCTTACGGAGATGAGGTGCCCGTATTCAGAGGTCATGGTGAGAGCATTCTACCAGAACCTCAACTACGTGCATCGCGAGCTGACTTCCCGTGTCTGCGGGGTTGATATTGTCCTTACTGCTCCTATTTGGACAGAGCTACTGGGGTTTGACTTTGATGGTCTCACAGATGCAGCACTGTATGACAGAGACTCCCATCATATATTTAGTGGTTATGATCGGGAGGCCATTGCTGCAGAGACCAGGAGAGCAGATGCTGAGGTCGGACAATTTGTTCATTATCCTGTGAGCAATTTATCGGTGCCTGCCCACATACTTCATTATGTGGTCACACACATTACTTTCCAGCGCGGTCATAATCACTCGAAGGTGTTGGAAGGTGACTTTGTGATCTTGTGGGCCCTCCTTCACCATATTCAGGTGAACTGGAGGCACTACATATGCATCCTGATGTGGAAGGCGACAAGTCTAGGAAGGTTGAATTGCCTTTTGCATTCCAGTGCAGAAGATTTTGCACAGATTTGGTGTGCCTATGGCAACTGAGACTCTGAAGACAGCCACAAGATGGAATGCCATATTTGGTGAGCGTCTATTGAAGCAGTGTGGGATCCTGCAGAGCCGAGAGGATGTGTGGTACTGGAAGAGGGCACATGAACCACCTGAGATTCCCCTTCACCACGATGCTGAGATGGAGGATGCACCTGCAGATGATGTATTTTGGGTTATTTTACATTAAGGTGTATTTTTTACGTAACATAATTTTAATATTTAAAGTTCATGATGTTGATGCAGGCCTTGATGACAATGACGATGATGATGACACTAATGTTGCTGATGACGCACCTGCACGTCCCACTCGCATTCGGCGAGCACCATCATCTCCATCTCTTGAGGGTGGATGGACACTTGATCATGTCATGGCATCCATGTATAGCCTGACATGTGGCCTTGACTTCTTGACCAGTGAGTTTAGGGGCTTTAGACAAAGCACAAGTAAGTGGAGATTGACAGCAGGGTGACACTCCTGGAGGCTAGCTACAGACAGGGTGGCCACACTGGTGAGGAGGCTGATGCTGCTGTTGAGGGTGACGATGATGAGGAGGAGGACAATGATGATGGGGAGGAGACGCAATTGAATTCCAGCTAGTAAGGTTTTTTTTATGTAGAGAGGACTTTTTTGGATGTATTTTGGGTTACTTAGGATGTATTCAGCCCATTTTTTGATGTATTGGGTTGTTTCATGGATGTAATCGTGACTTATTTTGTACTTCGATGTCCACTTTTTGAATGAAATACATATTTCAGATTGATTATTGGGTCTAGGGTTTGGGTTTGGGTTTTGGTTCAGAATTTTAAGAAAAAAATGAGAATATAGAGGTGTAATACCAATGTCTTCCTAAGATTAGGCTTTTTGAGATAATGAGATGAAATACATGTATGACGACTGAGAATAGAGATGACAAGGGGGAGAGATTTGGGGTAAAAAACGTATAACTGATAACAATGGCTGAAACCCACTGATATTGGGGTTTCTGGCCAACAAATACCCGGGTAACTGGGTGTGTACCCGGGTAAATAACTCCCTATCCGGGTATCTAGGTCCATTACCCTGGTAAAAACTCAAGTTGAATAAGAACAGTTATATTTTGCGAAATCTACCCGGGTAGGGAGGGGGATACCCAGGTATCTTAGGCTTTGTTTAGGAGTTAGTTTTAGGAGGGGAAGGAAAGAAAATGGAGGGTTTTAGTAAGTTCTTCCCTTGTTTGTAAGTTTAAAAAAATAAGGGAAAGAAATTGGGAATTTTTACTAAACCCTCCATAATACTCCTTCTTTTAAAAATTAAAGTTCCCATAATTTGGGGGGTTTGAGGGGAAAAATATTAAAAATTACTTATCTACCCTTAACATTAAAATGTTAAAACTACATAAATGTGAATCATTTTAAAATGTGACATTATTAGAAAAGTCTTAAATACTGACAGAATTTATTGACGAAAAATATTTTGTCTAAAGTAGTGATGAAATTTTTGACGAAAATCATATACGTCAAAAATTTTTCGTCAAAACTAAAGACGAAAATAGAGACGGAACTAGATTTTGCCATAATAACTCATAAAATTCCAATCAAAATTATTGATAGATAGAATCTAAATTCCGTAGAAACTTTTAACGGAAATATTTTTGTAAAAAATTTCGACGGAATCTAAAGTTCGTAAAAATATTTAATAAAAAACATATTCATCGAAATTTTTGACGAAAAATATTTTCCTCAAAATTTTCAACGAAACACATTTCCATCGAAAATTTTTGACGAATTTTTTTTTCTTCAAAATGCTTTACAAAATTTAAATTCTGTCGAAAGTTTTTGATGGAAACATTTTCGTTAAACTTTTTGACAAAAAAAATTTTAGTCAAATTTTTTAATGAAACACATTTCTATCAAAAAATTTCGATGAAAAATATTTCCGTTAAGTTTTTTTATAAAAAAATATTTCTATCAAAATTTTCAACAAAACACATTTTTGTCAAAAAATTTGACAGAAAATATTGATGTAAAAAATTTTGACGAAAAATATTTCTACAAAAAATTTTGACGGAAAAAATATTCTGTCAAAATTCTTTACGGAATCTAAATTTCGTTGAAAGTTTCAAATGAAACATTTCCCTCAAATTTTTTGACAAAACTATTTTCGTCGAAATTTTTGTGAGAACACATTTCTATTTAAATTTTGAACAGAAAACATTCAGTCAAAATTTTTGACGGAATTATTTTTCCATTTAAACCATTCGATGGAGAAAATCATTTTCATCTAAACTTTTGACGGAAACTAAATTTTGTCAAAATTTTTGCTAGGAAATTTACTTTTGTAAAAATTTTCATCGGAGAAAAAATTTCGTCGCTTTTGGACGAAAAGTGTTCCGACGAAAAAATAATTTTTCTGCCAAAATTTTGTCGTTTGCAACGTAGTAATATCGTCAAAAATATGATCTATTTTAGTATTGTGAAAAGTACATAAATAATTTTGTTAGAAATTTTAAATTTAATTTAATTTAATTCATAATATATAATAATTATATTAATTTTTAAAATGGGGTGAAATAGTAAAAATATCTCATAACCCTCTTTTTTTCTAGCTTACCATTTTTTTAACTCCCATACAATGAAAGGGAATACCGTTCAATTTCCTTCCATTCCTTCCCCTTCATTCCCCTCCAAACTCTCAAACAAAGTCTTAGGGGTCAACGGTCAAACATGGGCAGATTGATATTATATTTTTTTAAAATGTTAGATTTTTGAAATAGTTTATAAGGAAGGTCAATTTGGTAATTAATTATTGATTAAGAGCTAGAGTAGTCAAAAAGCCTTATGTACTGTGTTAGTTAATTTTTTTTTTGGTAACAAGTTATTCTTTAATATATGAAAGTAGAATTTGGGACAGACAATTATGATTATGTCATGTGGGAAGCGATATTGAAAATAATTCCCATGCAATGCAGTGAGCGTTTTTTTTTTTTTTAACAAAAAACATAAAAAATGTGAAAAAGTGAAAAAATATCTATTTTGAATTTACGTTGAAATAAATTATCATAATTACTAATTTTTAGATGAATAAGAAAATTTTTCAATTATAATTTATTTGATAACAACTAATGAATTTTAATTATCTATCAAAAGTTCTGGAAAAAAATTAATATTTAACATATCTATAAAAGTTTTATAGCAAAAGGTTGTAACTTATTTTTTCTGAGGATAGGTTATTCTGCCTATCTTTGCCTACTATTCTCAATACTGTTACATTACAATTTCATCAAATATGCGAAATAAAATAAACTTTTTTTTCCTCTTTCTCCTCGTTGCCTCCCACACCTTTTCTCTCCTTCCCTTTCTCTTTGTTGGATTTTTTTTCATTTTGCCAGTGATTGGAGTTGTGGGGAATCAGTGGTTTTCGACAGTAAAACATATTATGGAAATGAATTTTGGAGATTTGAATTTTTTCAAATAATTTTTATTCCTTATTAGGTTATTGGATATATTTTTTGAGCATTTTGATGAACTTCTCTTGAAAAATATGTTTTTTTCCACCGTCGAAAAGAGGTAAAAGGTCAATGTTAATTATGTACAAAAGAGTCAAATTAAATTGAGAAAAGAGGATGTAAATGAAGCTGTGCAGGTTCTGGTTCGGAACTTAGTGTTGGCATATTCAAGACAAATGTTGGGATCTTGCCTTGAAATCCATTCTGTGTCTTTCAACTTGGAGCACGACTCACTGCATCCACCAATCGATTGTTTTTTTCAAAAACCAAAACGAAAATCAAAATTAAAATTGGCATGGTAGGTGCGATAGAGAGAAAGAGTGTGGGAGACAGTGAAGAGCAAGAAAGAAAAAAAAGAGAGATTTATTTTATTCCAGAAATCTCCATCGTTAGATAAAATTATAATCTAATGGTGTTGAAAGAGGTAGACAAAATAATGGTAAACACTAGACAGAATAACCTATCCCATTTTTGTGACTATGTATCTAAAATGAATTTTATTTTTTAATTATTATAGTTAAAATTTCAATTTTACTAAATATATGTATGTATTTAAGTTAACTTATGATTTAATGTATAATGATTTTTAGCTAAAAAGCCATTTTTAATTAAAATTAATACAATATCAAGAAAAATCTTATACATGTATCTAAAATAATTATTAAGAAAATTAAATTTATTAAAAAAGATATCAAAACAGAAAAGTTTTACATTAATGACATATTAAAATTAATACTTTTTTTCCCTTACCAAAAATTACTTTTTTTTTTTTGGTAAAAGCAATCGTTCACATAATTTTGAATCAAAGATAATTGTTAAATAATGTTTTCAAAGTGATAATACATACAAATTTTTTTAGACTTATAAAAAAGATTCACTTATATTACAATCTATTATCTCTAAACTTCAAGAGATTTTTTTATTTTGTATGAAACTAATACATACAAATTGCATCCATCAAATCAAACAATATTAAATGATTTGTGCGATACAAATATCTTACGGTGTAAAGTAGTAATACGTCGCCCCTATAGATTATGCAAAGAACTTATGGACCCTCTCTTAGTTGGAGGCTTTTATTTTTATTTTATTTTATTTATAAGAAAAATGTTTATCATTTTAAATTACATAAAGTTATGTCATTTTAAGATAGATAAACACAAAAAAATATTTTTTATTTAAAATTTAAATTAAAAAAATCACTCATTTTCTCTCATATAATTTCCATTCCTTATATCTATCTATCTTAAAATAACATAAATTATGTTATTTAAAATGAAAAACATCAAATCCTTTGTTAACATTACACTTACCCACCCAAACTCCAGAGTAAAATTATTCAAATGTTATTATTACCACTGTAATGGAAACACCCACCATCCTTTTTTCGTAATCCGGTCCCATCTTCTAAGTACTCACAACACGACCAATAGCACATTTCATTGAACAAAACGTGACACCCCACTCCAATATATAATAAACACCCATCTCCACCAATCAACTCCAATTTCTTCAAACCTCCTCCATCACCACCACCACCATGGCCGGCGGCGATTCCACCCCACCCTACCACCCAACAAACAAACCTTGCAAATCCCCCTCACTCTTCAACTGCAAAAAAACCAACCTTTACTCCTTTGTAGCTTTCCTTTGCATCATTTCCTATCTCCTAGGTGCATACCATCAAGGAAACCCAAAAAACATCACAACAAAAACAATAGCCATTAACACAAACACCAACCCATGTACCCAACATCAAAACCAAAACAAAAACCCAACCTTTAGCACAACCCATTTAGATTTTTTCTCCCACCACAACGCCACCGACCCAACAACCTCATCTTTCACCTCTTCAGCAACGAAACACTACCCTCCATGTAGCGAGAGTCTTAGCGAGTACACACCCTGTGAGGACCAAAAACGTTCCCTGAGATTCTCACGTGACAGGATGGTGTACCGCGAGAGGCACTGCCCGGTGAAGAGGGAGCTTTTGAAGTGCCGCGTTCCTCCGCCTCACGGTTACAAGAATCCGTTTCCGTGGCCGGCGAGTAGGGATCTGGCGTGGTATGCTAACGTGCCCCACCGTGAGCTCACGGTGGAAAAGGCCGTTCAGAACTGGATCCGCTACGACGGCGATAAGTTTCGGTTCCCAGGCGGCGGTACAATGTTCCCCGACGGCGCCGATAAGTACATCGACGACATCGGAATGTTGATAAACCTCAAAGACGGTTCGGTTCGGACCGCTGTCGATACTGGCTGTGGGGTACGTTTTGTTTTACCCTTTTCTTCTATCTTTTCTTTGTCTTTCTTTTTTGCACCTCTTTTTTTAGGATAAAAAAGCTATTTATTTATTATTATTAATTATTATTTTTTTTAAGAAAAAGAGGCTTGTTGGGATGTCTTTGTCTTTTTTCTTTTATTGTCTTGGTATATTTACTTTTAGGATAAGAATAATGCTGTTTAATGTTTATATCGTTTTGGGCCACAACTTTTAACTACTTACTTAAATGTCTATGTAAGGTATAATTCTTTCATTTTTTTTTATTCATAAAAATTGTTATTAAGAAAAAAGTTAAATAATTTTTATCTTAATTAACTGTGTTTTTTTGTTTGTTATTAATATTATATTAGAAAACAAAATTGAGGGGTGAAAAGAATGACGGAAAATTTTATTTCGAATCCAAGGGTCTTTAACTCTTGACTATGGTGTACCAGGAAAAGAAAAGGGTCTTTTGTGATTGTGTCTTTTTGTCCACTTGAGTCTTAATTACTGATGATTTTTTTAGTTTAGATCAGAAGATCTTAGGAGTTGTTGTAACTTTAAAAAATGCATTAGACTTGGTGTTTAACTAAGGAAGGGATTATTTGATTGATATATATATTGTCAATATTATAGATTCCAAAACTGAAAATGAGAGGGTGTTTGTCTTTATCTGGGGTAGGCTTTTAGTATTTTTTTAATGGGTTGTGCAATTTGTTCGTTTCCCTTGTCCCAATGTTTCATCAGTTATATATTTAAACAAATGGATCCAAATCCAAGTGTAACGGGTTGTCTCGCCTTTATAGAACAGAGTAACGATTCTCACATGGATTTTCTGTATTAAATGTTTTTCTTGAAGAGTTTTCGTAGAAGTTTTCTAGAGGATCAATGTCGCTAGAATTGAATTTTGATGTGATATCAAAGCAGAACGCATAAATGTCTGGCTCTTTCGTTACATATGTAATAAAATTATTTATGTCGATTTATTTATTAGTTAAGTAGTTAGGAATTCAATTTTTATTATCTTTGTTGTTTTAAATAAAAATAAAATTTCAACCTACGATAAAAAATTTAGCCAGTACATTCAGCATGTTCTTTTTATGAATGTATAGTTACAAACAGATCACATATGCATGGTCTCTGTTTCTTTTGCTTAATTTGAGCTATTCATGAACAAGGAACATTAAAGGACAAAAAAAATCGAAGGTTTCTGTTGCTGTATTTGTTTTGCATTTGAGCAGTGCCCAGAAATGCTCGATCCATACCATAACAATGATTGAATTATAAAAAAGGGTAATCGAAATTCTACTAGAAAATTTGTCTTTTTTCTTTTGTCTTTTTTCTACTTGCAAATAAAAAAGAACTGAAGAGATCTAATGTGGTGCATCCACAATTAGAATGAACCGGGCTAGTTATGTGGTTCCCGGGGTAAAATGGGAATATAAAAGCATTATTATTATAACCGAGTCATGTGATTGTGATTCCAAACTTTTGACATCATGTAATATACTATGAGCTTTGAACATGTTCAATTGTACTTTGGAGTGAGTTAATAATATATGAGGGACAATGATCAAAATGTTATATTATCCACACAAAATTATCTTAATGCCATGGATCGGAATTTTTTTTTTCAAAATGTCATGTCACCTAATTCGCTAAAACACTTGGTAACATGTTCATGGCGACGTAAGCCGCTGCATTGAGATTTCGTGGCAGATAGTTTCTGCCACAGCTTGAACACGCAGTCTAAAACACTAGGCAGCTTGGCATGTTATGTGTTTGACACGTGTCAAACTCGCTATGCTGCATAAGATGTTACGTGTTAGCTTTTCTGACACGTAGCCATACATGTTGTGCTGCATAACATATTATACATGTTGTGCTGCATAGCATATTATGTGTAAGTAGCCCAGCAGTTCAGCATTTTTGGTCTAATAATTTAATTTAGGACTATTAATTTAATTTAATTTATGTGTGTTAATTAATTTAATTTAATGTAGGAGTGTTAATTAATTTCATTTAATTTAGTTTATGTTACTTTAATTTTTTTTTGAACTGTTAAGTAATTTAATTTAGGAGTGTTAATGAATTAAATTTAATTTATGTTTGTTAATTAATTTAGTTTATATTAATTTAAATTATTATAGAACTATTAATTAATTATTTTTAGGAGTATAATTAATTAATTTCATTTAATTTAGTTTATGTTAAGTTAAAATTGTTTTGAACTGTTAAGTAATTAATTTAATTTAGGATTGTTAATGAATTAAATTTAGACTAAAAATGTTGGACCGTTAGGCTACACACACGTAATATGCCAAGCTGCTTAGCGTTTTAGGTCGCGTGGCAGGCTGTGGCAGAAGCTGTCTGCTATGTAATTTCGTTGCACTATGTAACGGCTTACTAAGCTATGAACCTGCTGTCACGTGTCCATATCTAACTCGTCATGTGTTGTAATGAGTTAGGTGATGTGTCATTTTAGAAACCCGCATATGACATTCAGATAGTTTAACATTTGGGTCGTTGTCCCGTATGAAGGGCATAGTCCAACATGGTTGACCATTGTATGTACTAGATTCTTGTTTTTTTTCCCTGACGAGGCATTTTGTCTGATTAGTCACTAACCACACGTGATTTTCGTGATAGCTTTTAGATTAATCGTACATAACAATAAATATGAAAGATATCTTATGAAATGCATTATAAACATTCTATTGAATTAAGATTCAATCATTACTACTTTAATAATGTTACATTATGCTATTCGTGTATGACATAGTTCACAGATTGCATTAAAATTGATCACATCATAAAAAGATTCCGTAATAGATTCAACTAACAATCTGGCTAAATATGTATATTGTCTTGTGCTTCAAAAAACAAAAAGACAAAAATTAAAAACTAGTTGTGTGTTTCAAAATCTTGCTAAATATATTTTTCATGAAAAAAGTTTTATTTTATTTTATTTGTCATTATTTTTATATTTCTTGCGGAGTCAATTGTTTATTTTTACATATTGATTGATATGGCAAGAGCATTTGAACAAAGCTGAATTTAAATGGTGAATATGTAATGGGCCAATTTTAATATTTTTCCAAAACTTTGATCCTGCAGGTTGCTAGTTGGGGAGCCTATCTTCTATCCCGTGACATCGTAACAATGTCAATTGCACCAAGGGACACGCACGAAGCACAAGTTCAGTTTGCTCTTGAACGAGGAGTTCCTGCTATAATTGGAGTCCTAGCCTCAAAGAGACTCCCTTTCCCCTCCAGAGCTTTTGACATGGCACACTGTTCTCGCTGCCTCATTCCATGGGCTGAATATGGTATTCTCACTCATCAAATACCAACTTTTGTAGTTCTCACATAAGAAAATCAATATATATATATATATATATATATATATATATATATGGGAAAAGTGTTTGTCATTTTAAATGACAGAAAGTTATGTCATTTTAAGAGAGATAAAGACACAGAAAAATTGAATTTTAAATTAAAAAAAATAACCCACTTTCTCTCTCCCATGATTTCTGTTTTTCTGTGTCTATCTCTCTCTTAAAATGACATAACTTATGTCATTTAAAAAGACAAACACCAAACCCTATATATATATATATATATATATATATATATATATATATAAGGCAAATTATTCTTATATCGGTGTAAGAATAAAAATTTTTATACTCATTCTTGACCGTTGATCCACTTGTATTTAATGACTTATATAACTAAAAAATTAGAGTTAAATATTAATGGGATCAACAACTAAGATTGAAAATATAATTTATACCGATATAAAATGATTGAAATCACACACACACACACACGGGACATATATATAGGATATGATCCTTTGACATTGGTGTCAAACTTTGAAACCAAATCCTAACCGTTGATTTTCGTCACACATACACATATATATAGGATCCTTTGACATTGGTGTCAAACTTTGAAATTAAATCCTAACTGTTGATTTTCGCCAATCAACAGTTATCATTTATTGAAATTAATAATTAATTAATAAGTTTGATTCTCAATAAATGATAACGTTGATTGACGGAAAATCAACGGTTAGGATTTGGTGTCAAATTTCAAAGTTTGACACCAGTGTCAAAGATCTTGCTTATATATGTATATATATAAAGTTACATTGGTATAACTCTATGTTTAAGTCTAACAAGTCTTACATCCATAAATACATTATTAGTCGTTGATCTTACTTGCATCTAATGGTTTACGTGACTAATAAATTAGAGCGGTTAAATGTAAGTGGGATGAATGACAAATAGTGGATGTAAGACATACAACAGCTTCATGATTCAACATTAACTTGTGTTGATTTGTTTTTTCACTTGTTGAATTAGATGGGCTTTTTCTAAATGAAGTTGATCGAATTCTTCGGCCTGGAGGGTATTGGATTCTATCTGGGCCACCAATCCGCTGGAAGAAATACTGGAAAGGATGGGAAAGAACAAAGGAGGATTTGAATGAAGAGCAGACCAAAATTGAGAAGGTAGCCAAAAGCCTATGCTGGAACAAGCTAGTGGAGAAGGGTGATATTGCTATTTGGCAGAAACCCAAAAACCATTTAGATTGCAAAGCCAACCGTAAGCTAACCCAAAATAGGCCTTTCTGCCAGGCCCAGAATAACCCTGATAAAGCCTGGTATGTGCTTCATTTTCCCATTCTCCTTGTAGTTTTATTTTTGTGACATAAATGTTTAACATATATTTTATTATATTTATTTTGGTCACTTTCAGGTACACAGATATGCACACATGTTTGAGTCCTCTGCCTGAAGTGTCTAACAGGGAAGAAACTGCAGGTGGAGAATTGGAAAATTGGCCTGAGAGACTAAAAGCCACCCCACCAAGGATTTATAAGGGTACCATAAAAGGGGTTACACCTGAAACTTTCTCAAAAGATAATGAGTTGTGGAAGAAAAGGGTATCATATTATAAGAAGGTTAATAATCAACTAGGAAAAGCTGGGAGATACCGTAACCTTATAGACATGAATGCTTACTTGGGTGGATTTGCTGCTGCACTAATTGAGTATCCTGTTTGGGTCATGAATATAGTTCCTGTTCAGGCTAAGGTTGATACACTTGGAGCAATTTATGAACGGGGTTTGATTGGAACATATCATAATTGGTTAGCTCAATATTCTATTGTCCTTTATTTGATGATGGTCTTTCCCTTTCTTCTCTAAAATGTTTGTGCCCTTCAATTCTGTTGCAGGTGTGAAGCAATGTCTACTTATCCTAGAACTTATGACTTAATTCATGCTGATTCATTGTTCAGCCTTTATAATGACAGGTATACATCAAACCCAAAAGTTTCATATGTATTACATTAATTGTAAACAATAATACTTGTTCTGTTTACTATGATGATACTTAACAATTGAATTTTATGAACTTGAAAATGTGAATTCTATGTTCTCACTAATGATCTTAGAAATGCATTTCATTATTTAAAATCTAAGAATGTAGTTTAAATGATTCAAATCTCTGTGTTGTAGGTGTGAATTGGAAGACATTTTGCTTGAAATGGATAGAGTTCTTAGACCTGAAGGAAGTGTGATTATTCGAGATGATGTTGATATATTGGTAAAGGTGAGAAGTATAGTCAATGGCATGGATTGGGATAGTCAAATTGTGGACCATGAAGATGGGCCTCTTGAAAGGGAGAAACTTTTATTTGCTGTAAAGAAATATTGGACATCTCCTGCTGCTTCTGACAAGACTAGTTAAATATACTTTTGATCTTTTATAGGCCCCTTTCATTTTAGTTTTTCTCTTTTGATGCTTTAGTTTTCTTTCCTTTTTTTTCTTTTCTGTTTTTGGTAAGTTGTTAATTGTCATTCTTTTGTATTTTTTTTTTCTTCTTCAATTCTTGGGGCTTGTGCAAGGAAATTTTGTTGAATGCAAATTCAGTTTAACTGTGCAGAACACTGAAGGGCTTACTTACCATTGTCATGTTTTGCTCAATAAAGTACACAAATTCTGTAATAATGTTTGTCAATACACTTTCATAAACATCATTTTACGTTTACATATTTTTCACCACTTGATTATAGGTGGTTTCCAGTCATATTTTGCACATTTCGCTATAACAAGAAAAATTCGATTTGGTTAGCATAATCAGGTTTGATCGGGTTAGGAACATTGTTGTTAAAATTTTGATTTATCACTACGATTTTATGTTTTTACGAATTTTTTTTCCATCAAAACGATTTTATTAATATTTCAAATGCTTTTACGATTTTTTACGATTTTATGTTATACGATTTTTTAATCCCTTTTCGATTTTACTTAAGATTTCGATTTTACTTAATCTTGATTTTAACAACATTGATTAGGAATAAAAACCAACATAATTTAGTTTGGGTAGTGAGTTCCATTTTTACAACACGGAAATCCAAACCGAAATCAATGCAGTTTTAGTTAGTTAGATTTGATTCAGATTAACTAAATTTTTTTAACGAATATGACCTAAATCAGTCTGCACTTAAATAATTAAATTGGACATACTTTTCCTGAAAACCCGCTTTACCCGACCTGTATGGAGCCCTGTAACATTCTCACACGCAACTTATGTCCACCCATTTTTTTTTTTAGTTTGGTTTTTGATCCCTGGGCTGGTAGGTGGTAACAAAGAATTATAAAGTAACAATTCCAGTGTGTAATTGAATGCGCATAGGCCATAGCTTACGAGTCTTGATTAAATACCATCAAATTGAAAAGCACAAAAACGATATAATTCTATGGACCAATCTAGAATCATTGTCATTGATGGACTAGTCAAAAAAGAACAAACCAGGTTTCAATCAGCTAAATTCATATTGATTTGTCGAAAAAGGAAATAGAATAAAATATTTGTATGGCTTTACTTTTACATTTAATAATTAGAGTAAATATTCTTTTTGGTACTCAGCAAATTTCATGAAGTCCATTTTAGTCCCTAGCAAATAAAAAGGCTCGTGGTCCCTAAAAAGTTCAAAATGGACCCATTTTAGTCCTTTTGAAGACTAATATGGGTCTTTTTTGAATTTGTGAGAGACCGCGATTTCAACTAAATAGGTTCATTTTGAATTTCTTAGGAACCATGATGAGCTTTTTTATTTACTAGGGACTAAAAAGGACATCGTGAAATTTGCTGAGAACCAAAAAGATATTTTCTTATAATTATTTATATTACTATCTATCTGTCCTCTCAAAGTTTTTATTGATCCATCCATCTAATGAGCAATTTTTTGGTAGATATCTCCTGACACATTATCTGTTAGGTACTTCGTTCAATAATAATTACGCATGAAAGCATTTTTTTATATTGATATTGGTGCATTTTTAACATAGACCACAAAACCCTGTTTTTGTATAATATTGCACAGGTGTTATTCACACATCTGACTTTACTCCAATCCCTCAAACCTTCCTCTCTGAAAAAAGAAAAAAGAAAAAAAAAGTGCGCATTGGAAAGTATGATCCTTTTTTATTTTTCTCACAAAAAGGTATAGGAGTTTAACTTAAGAATTAAGTATAAAAATAATAGTCTCCTACACACATAAAAATATGTGGTCTCATATGAAGAGAAGAGAGAGAAAAAAAGCATGGACACACATACTTTTATGTATGTGTAGGAGATAATTTTATCTCCTATAATATGGGAGACACTAAATCCATAAATAATAAAGTCCAAATACTTTATGTGTATGTAAGAGATAATTTTATCTCTTATAATATGAGAGACACTAAACTCATAAATAATAAAACTCTTAAATATTAAATACCAAAGTCCTTATAATAAGCAATACTCATTTAAAAACTATTCACGATCCGCTTAAAAAAGGTTGAGTCTGACCATATGCGGATAGATCGGTCCAGTTGAACTTTGAAGCAGAATTTGATGAGAGGTGTCGCAAGATGGTTGCACTGGTGCTGTTGGGACAAATGGGGAGTACCTATAAGGCACTTCGTCGATGCTCAAGTCAGTGTTTGATTAATGAGTTTAAATAATAATGGAGAAGATGATCATACCCGAATTTTTAGCTTCTTTATATGGTAATGATATAACTTGCTTGTGTCGCCTTAATACGACGACATCTAATTTAATTGGTTGGTTCATGTGACTTATACAAGTTACAACCTATCCCTTTTGCGAGATGTGTGTTTTTGGGCTATATTATGTAGGTCTAGCTGAAACCTAGTGTGTATCCTTTAGTCATTGACTTTTGAGGAGGTTTAGGAACTCTGTGCTGTTGTCACTTTAACTGTGTATCTACGGGATAACGTGCTTCCTTACTCCTTAAGTCTTTATTATTGGGACTCTTTGGCCATTAATGGATTGAAACCATCATCCTGCTTAGTATAGGTCAAGATCAACTCTTAATTAGTAACTTGTTTCAATCGAAATAAGTTCAATTTTATATTTTTTGATAATCAATTGTCAAATGATGCGATATTAGAGAAATTATAATGTTACATATATACATTTACACAACTTTTTGACCCATATAATGCAAAATAAAAAAATATTTTACTCGTTTAATTCTTTATGAAAACTACTTACGAATCTAATGCAAAATATATTGGAGAGGCCAACATCTTTCCTAGGTATGGCCCAATGTGGGGTTAGAGTCAAATTAAGCCATAACGCTTCGACTGGTAGAGATAAATAGAAAGAGTTGCACCCTGACTAACAACTATAGCTTTTGGCCTAATAGAAAGTACTCGATCCAACACTTGCTATTAGAGCTAACGTCATAGGTTCATTCCCATGTATGAAACTTTGCGGGAGGCAGGTGTTAGGGGAATTGTTGGAGAGACCAATATCTTGCCTTGGCAAGGCCCAATGTGGGGCCAAAGTCAGATCGAAGCATGACGTTTAGGCTGATAGGGGTAAGTAGAAAGAGTTGTATCCTTATTAACAGTTATAGCTTTTAGCATAGTGATAAATGCTCAATTCAACAAAAAAGAAGTGCATGGGGGTGTGCGCATTCAAGACAAGCACCACCCTATGCGTGACTTGTGCAAAATACAACGCAACACGTGACAATGCGAGTTGGGTTTTGAACAAGTCCCACATGATGTGCGACTTAAACGTGCACACTCTTTATGCACGTCTCACCGTATTAGATTGATAAATTATTTGACATTTGAATCAACGAGGAAAAATGTTTCTATTTTAACATTAAATATGTTAAAGAACCCACTCACACACACATATTTTAAATTTTACGTATATATAGGGTTAGGATCATTTTACACCAATATAAGTTACACTCTCAATATTGATTGTTGATCCTATTTATATTTAATGGTTCTGATTTATTATATATTTGAGCCGTTAGATGCAAGTAAATCAATGATTCAGATTTGACATAAGATTTCTAATTCTTATTCCGGTGTAAGAATATTTTGCCCATATATATATATATATATATAGGTAAAATTATTTCTGCAGCCGCTTTACGTACAACAATGACAGGTGTATGGTTATGATTCCCCACATTTAATGCTTTCATCCTTTGTATGGTTATGATTCTCCGCATTTAATGCTTTCAAGTATATATATATATATATGGCAAGTATTTGATTGTTGCACGTACAACAACTGCGGAAATGTAAATCCCATATATATATATATATATATATATATATATATATATATTCGACTACGTACCTTAGGTGTGAGCAAATGTTTGTACACCTCAGGTGACAGAAGTTTTATCCACTTACATAGAAAATGAAAACAGGTTGATACCAATGAAGATCGGAAACTGGATTGAACTAGTGTCACAGTTGCCCTCCAACACTAATATTGTGAGCCGAAAATCTCATGGTAGGTCACTCACGAAATGGAACAACGATTTGGTTCCAAACTTCACCATAAATAGGGACACTAAAACTAAGAAAGAACCATACTCATAGTCATACAGTGAGTATAGTAAACAAATAACCATAAATTGTTCTAATTAAAGTCATGGCAGCACTCAAGTCTCTCTTCTCTCTAATATCTCAACTTGGTGTGGTGCTCCTCTTGGTTGTTGCACTAGGGACCGAGAAAGAGAAGGTTAAGGCACAGAGCACATGCTCAAACCAGCTGAGCAACCTCAATGTTTGTGCACCCTTTGTGGTGCCTGGTGCACCTAACACAAACCCAAGTGTTGGATGCTGTAATGCACTTGAAGCTGTGGACCGTGACTGCCTCTGCAGCACAATAAGGATCGCTTTCCAACTTCCTAATCAGTGTCAACTCCCACCCATAGCGGATTGTGGTAAGTTTCTCACTATGTTCTTTAATTTAACATATATATTTTTGGGAATATCATTTTTGCCTTTTAAGGCATAAAAAATGAGCATTTTTCTCCTTAAAGGCAGAAATGATATTCCATATATATTTTGAAAAAATATTTTTGTTTTCCTATAAATTTCAACTCATATAAATGTTAGTGAGTCCTATTGTAAAAAGAAAATGAAGAAAAAAATTAATAGGACCCATTTATTTTTTTTGTGAGTGTCTCAAATAAATATTTGTTGCAGTTGAAATATTAGACAATTTTTTTTTCTAGTTTCCCACATGGTTTATAAGAAAGGGAAGATTATTTCTATAAATTTTTTATTTACAAACTACACTCAGATATAATGTAATTTGTAAGTTTATAAAATAAAGTTTGTTAATATAATTCTACTCTTATAAAAAACCACAAAACTTTCAAACCCATATAGGAGATAATTCTCTTAATTCACTTTTATCTATTGACTTGAACTTAGGTCTCTAGTTAAGGGAACAAGCTTATTGTCACTAAAACCAATGATTATCAGTTAATTTTACATATTGTTCCAAATTTCTTTTTCTTCTTCTTAGTAAGTATGATTACTTTACACTTGAATCTTAATTTACAGTCACCAATTAGAGCACATGAAGAAGATACATTGAGGTGAATAATGTTGAAGCCCCTAGCTTCTCTCGGGTTCTCTTTTATTTTATTTTACTTTTTACTTAGGTTTGGCTCTCCGATTGAATGCCTATTTGGCGAAACCATGCAATGTAAGAATGCAAGAGGAAGTCAACGCCATGAAATAAAAATGTTGGACTTTTCTTTGATTGGGAAACATACATTAAGCTTGATATTCGTTCTTGGTGATTAATAATTAAACTTCATAACTATGTCAGGGAAAAGTAATCAAAGTACCTTCATTCGCCGAATAAAACAGAAAGAAAAGTAAACAAAACCACCCTTTGTTTCTTTTATCGTGTTATGCCCAAAATGTAGGGACTAATGATGTTTACAAGTTTTAAAGACAATGAAATGACGTAAAACAAAGTAGGACTGAAACAGAATATAAAAAGAACAGTCTTTTTTATATTTAAAACATTAGCTGAAGACGAAAATAAATGTATCCTTTTTTTTTTTTTTGAGTTTTAAGAATATTAAAATTAAAGTTTGATTTTAATCTTAATTTATTTCTATTGTGACTAATTAGTGTTTGGTTCGGTGGCATATAATTTTAATATAACTATATTCTTTTCTGTAGTTGAATTTAGATTATCAATGAAAATTAATAAGTGAATTTTTCATTTGAGTAAACTTGTAAAAGGGTATTCTAATATATTATAGAATTGTAAATAATCTGTACAAAGGGTTCTCTATTTATAGAGAATATTTGACCTACTTTTAACCTAATGGGCTTGGCCCAATACAACAAAGGGCTTGGCCCAATACAACAATAAATGACTAAATAAAAACTAAATAATAACTAAATCAATATTATTTACAACACTCCCCCTCAAGCTGAGGAATCAATATTTATCATTCCCAGCTTGCTAGTAAGTTCTTGAAATCTGTCTGAAGGAAGCCCCTTTGTTAATAGATCAGCCAATTGACGCCCAGTGGGAATGTATGGAGTGGTAATCAACCCGCTATCAAGTTTCTCTTTGATGAAATGGCGGTCAACCTCAATATGTTTAGTCCGATCATGTTGAACTGGATTATGAGCTATACAAATAGCGGACTTATTATCACATAGCAGCTTCATAGGTCCCTCACATTTTATTTTGAGATCATCAAGAACAATTTTCAGCCACAGTAACTCACAAATGCCTTGAGCCATAGCTCGAAATTCAGCTTCTGCACTTGATCTGGCAACCACATCTTGTTTCTCACTTCTCCATATCACCAAGTTACCGCAAAGAAACATGCAATAACCAGTGGTAGAACGACGGTCAGTCACGGATCCAGCATAATCAGCATCTGTGTAGACTTCTAAAGATAGATTGCCATCACGTCGGAATAACAATCCTTTACCAGGAGTACCTTTAAGATACTGAAGAATTCTCTCTACTGCCTGCATGTGTTTTTCTTTTGGATCGTGCATAAACTGACTGACAACACTAACAGCATAAGCTAGGTCTGGTCTGGTATGGGCCAGATATATCAATTTCCCAACTAGCCGTTGATATTGTCCTTTATCAACTGGAGGACTCTCTTCTTCATAGCCCATCTTGTGATTCTGCTCAATAGGAGTATTAGAGGGTTTACACCCGAGCTTTCCTGCTTCTTTGAGAAGATCAAGAACATATTTTCTCTGGCTGATAAAAATTCCTTTGCTTGAATGAGCTACTTCTATCCCTAGGAAATATCTCAGTTTCCCAAGGTCTTTGATTTCAAACTCAGAGGCAAGCCGTGTTTGCAGAATCTGTCTCTCCACAAAATCATCACCTGTGATAATAATATCATCAACATATACAAGGAGCACAGTAAGCTTCCCATTTTGGGAGTGCTTGAAGAAAATAGTGTGATCTCCTTGGCTCTGTCTGTATCCTAAGGTCATCATAACCTTAGTAAATCTTCCAAACCAAGCACGAGGTGACTGCTTCAATCCATACAAGGCCTTTTTTAATCTACAAACTTTATTTTCCCCCTTCACAGAATCAAAACCAGGCGGGATTTCCATGTAGACTTCTTCTTCTAACTCACCATTGAGGAAAGCATTTTTCACATCAAATTGATTTATATCCCAATTGTAATGGGCAGCAAGGGATAACAAGATTCTCACTGTATTCATCTTTGCAACTGGAGCAAAGGTTTCTTCATAATCAATGCCATAGGTTTGAGTGTAACCTTTGGCCACTAATCGAGCCTTATATCTCTCAAGAGTGCCATCAGAATTATATTTCAGGGTATAAACCCATCTGCACCCTACTGCTTTCTTTCCGTTGGGTCTATCAATAACCTCCCATGTTTTATTTTTCTCCAAAGCATTCATCTCCTCTTGCATGGCTTGAGCCCAATTCCTATCTTTCAAGGCTTCATGTACTGATTTTGGGATTGCAATAGAATCTAGTGCTGAAACAAAGCTTTTGTGCTGCACAGAAAGATTAGCAGAGGAAACAAAGTGGGAGATAGGGTATTGAGTACAAGAGGGACAGGAGGAACAAGTTTTCTTGTGACAAGATCTTTTTCCTTTTCTAAGAGCAATAGGTAAGTTATCAGAAGTAGAAGCAATGGGTAAGTCATTAGAGATATCAGAAGAAATAGACAAATCATGAGAGGAAATAATATTAGAATCAGAAACAGGAGATTCAGAAGAAATAGGAGATTCAGGACTTACCAGTGGTTCAGACGATTGAGGTTGCTGGTGAGACAATATGGGTTGTATCTCAGGTGTATTTGAAGGTTCTGACACACCAGGGGCAGACACACTAGGAAGAGAGAAGATTGATCCAGACTCAAAGAAGGAAGGGGACGAGTCTTCTGAAGAACTATTCTCCCCCTGACGATGAGGACCCAGGAAATAAGATTCAGATTCTTGAAAGGTGACATCCATAGAAACAAAATATTTCCGACTTGGTGGATGATAACACTTGTACCCTTTTTTATAAGGGTTATAACCAAGGAAGACACATTTAAGAGCCCTAGGATCCAACTTACTCCGATGTTGTTTATGAACATGGACAAAGGCAACACATCCAAACACTCTTGGTGGAAGGCTCTGCAATATGGGAACAGAAGGAAAGAAGGAAGTCATGGAATGAATATGACTGATATTGTTAAGGACCCGTGAAGGTAAACGGTTGATCAAAAAAGTTGCAGCTAATACTGCTTCTCCCCAATAAGAACTAGGAACAGATGTCTGAAAAAGTAGTGCTCTAGCAACTTCAAGAAGGTGACGATTTTTCCTTTCAGCAACCCCGTTTTGTTGAGGGGTATCAACACATGTGAGCTCATGAATCATACCTCTGTCTGAAATGAATTGTGACAGGCGTTGATTGACGTACTCAGTACCATTATCAGATTTGAGTCTTTTAATACCCTTACCAAACTGTGTCTCAACCATGTGATGAAACCGAATAAATATCTCTGGTACTTCAGACTTGTCTTTCATCAAGTATATCCATGTTAACCGAGTACAATCGTCAATAAAAGAAACAAACCACCTAGCACCTGAAACACTGTGCACTTTAGAAGGGCCCCAAACATCAGAATGGATAAGAGAAAAATGTTCTCTACTTTTAATAGTGCTAGAAGGAAATGACACTCGATGGTGTTTTGCAAATTCACAAACATCACATTGAAAGGTCTCAACCGACTTATTGAGAAACAGAGAGGGGAACATAGACTTCAAAAGACTAAATGGTGGATGCCCGAGACGCTTGTGATGGAGCCAAATCATAGACTCTGCAGTAGAAGGATGACGTGTCATTAATAACTGATTTTTGCTAGCATGGTCTGGAAGGAGATGATACAACCCATCCTGTACATTAGCAACTCCAATTGTCTTCTTCGTGGTAAGATCCTGAATAAGACAATGAGAAGGAAAAAATGTGATAGAACAATTCAAATCAGTTGTAAGTTTTTGAGTGGAGATAAGATTAGTAGAAAGCTGAGGAACATAAAGAACATTTTTAAGAAACAAGGAAGGTTGAATTTGAATGTTACCAGAACCAATAACTGATTTATGGGATCCATCAGCTACGGATATAGTATGACTACCAACAGTAGGATGATAAGAACAAAATAACTCAGTACGACAAGCCATATGATCAGTTGCACCAGAATCCAAAATCCATGAGGTTTTAAAATCAGTGCAAGAAGCAAGAAGAGATATAGAACGTGTGCTCTTACCAGATAAGATCGAAGAACTATCATGCTCAGCCATTCTTTAACAAAAAAAGTTAACAACCAGCGATAAAATCAACCAAACAGAATATCAAATGACCTCTGATCAGAAAAATAATTACAGATCCAGACAGAAGACAAGAAGACGAGAAGAATGGTGGTGGTCCGGTCCAAAAACACGGCCGCACGCGCCTCCACGCGCCGGAGAAAGGAGCTGCGCGTGGGATTCACTCGCCGGGAAAGGGGCGGCGCGTGAGAGCGCGTGGATGGGCTTCGCCGGCTGAGATTTTTCTGGTGTGGTCGTCCGGTGAGCGCACACCTGTCTGTGGGTGGTCGCGGTTGAAAAGTCGCCGGAAAGTGGTCCAAACGGTGAAGACAGATCTGATTGGAGGCGATCGGAGGTGTTTCGGTCGTTTGTGGCGGAGGAACACTGCGTAGAATGATAGATCGGAGGAAAAATAAGGTCAACAATGGTCCCCTTGGTCCAAAAGGTCTCCGGAAAAATTTTCCGGTGGCGGCTAATGGCGGCAAGAGGTAAAGAAATTAAGGTTTTGTTAAAAAAGAAGATAATATGTGCGGAAGCAAAGCCCTCAGATCGAGAGCTCTGATACCAACTTGTAAAAGGGTATTCTAATATATTATAGAATTGTAAATAATCTGTACAAAGGGTTCTCTATTTATAGAGAATATTTGACCTACTTTTAACCTAATGGGCTTGGCCCAATACAACAAAGGGCTTGGCCCAATACAACAATAAATGACTAAATAAAAACTAAATAATAACTAAATCAATATTATTTACAACAAGTAATGTTATGAATTAATATAAATTGAACTTGACAACAGATAAATAATTATTTCAAAGTGAATTTGAAGGAATTAATCAAGGGATTAGTGTATCCAGTAAGTAGAGGTGGCAAAATGGGTCAACTCGCCCTTAACTCGCCAAAAATGAGGCGGGTTGACCCGCCATTTGATGGTGGGTTGAAAATATCAACCTACCCATTTTGAAGTGGGTTGATTCGCCTAAAAAATAAAATAAAATTAAAAAATAATAATAAATTATCTTGTATTAATTTTATAATATTACTTATTTTTATGTTACCCTCCCCTTATTTTTTTTTTTAAACCTTTGCATTGAATAAAGTTTTTCTTTTATATTTTTTCTAGGGAAGTATTAAAATAAAAAAAAATTATATCACAAAAATTTAGTGACAAATAAGATACTACTAATAGTAAAAAAAAAAAAAGCTGGCTCACGGGCCAACCCGCCACGAACCCGTTTTGACCCATAACTAAGTGGAGCGGGTTGAGACGGATTGGTGGGTTGAAATGTATAACCCAACCCGCCCCATTTTAATGAGTTGACCCGTGAAGTTTAACCCATATTGTCACCTCTACTTGTAGGAGATAATTTTATTTCTTATACACATATATAAAAATATGTGGAGCTTATATTTTCTTTTTTTTCTTCACATGAACCAATGTGTCATATACATTTTTATGTATATGTAAAAGATAAACATTAATTCCATTAATCAACGGCGGTTTATTTCCAAAGTATGTGAAACCTGCAAGGAGTGTTGGGCCCAATATCAAGCCCGATGTTAGGCCGTCTCAATGTCGAAGTCCTAATGAAAAAGTACATTTCATGAGCCGAGCATATGAAAAATAGGAGCACTACAATGCATTGATTCAAAAAAAAAAAAAAAAAAAAAACTTATATGATATTAATCATTATGAGTAAAATAAATATAAATATATCATTTTTTTTAGATATATATCATGTAATTTTTACCAACTTTAATAAGTGATATATTAAAATTTTAATACAAAATATTTTAAATTGATAAAAACCGATGGAGAACTAATGAAAAATCGGTTTGAATATTTTTTTTTTAAAATTCAACAAAAATATTTTTTTGAGTCAAATAAAAATTCAATGTCAAATTACAAAGGTTGAAGTATAAATTTTCTTAATTAGTTTTTTATTTTGTAGGATACATAATATATATATGATCTTTGTGCTAATAATATAATATTTATTTTCTATTAATTCGATTATAGTTTTAGACCTATAAATCATAAATTAATGCCTTATCAATTAAATGAGTAATTAAAGTAGGAATGTAGGGGTGAATAAATTCATTTATGCACCACGTAGGGCATAGCTGCTACGAATTAGATGGACGACTGTACCATAACTACCGGACCCAAACTTGTTACTTTCTTAGTTGTTTTCACAATTTAAGATGTGTGGGTCCATTCTTCTAACAGCCCAACAGCTCCACTCACGCCACAACAAATAGAGGAATTCATTATATTAAATTCTCAATTACATACCAAATGGTGGAAGTTCACTTGGCGCATGGGAGCTGAGCAGGTGGGGTGAGGGCATGTGTTCGAACTTCTCCAGTACCACTTTTGGAAGGAGTTTAAAACCTTAATCCTGGACCGCCCCGAATTGGACTAATCGCGAAGCGATGAACCTATGAAATATTTCCCAAAAAAAAATTCTCAATTACATAAGCACAACATGTTGGCATTTTCAGTCGCTAGTTTGCTCCAAAAAAGTCCAAACAAGCATTTCAAATATCGTACTTTGTTTCCCTTTTTTTTTTTGTGTTAAAGAAAAATTCAATATGAGGTTTTAACATTGTTCGAATTTAAAATGTGTATGTTGGAAAATTCAATGGTGTAGTAACCACAGCCTTAAGGATATAGTCCTTTAATATTCAAGGTAGACGAAAATTAATTAGAGCAGAGGGTGAGGTAAGACATAATTTATTTTCGTACTTATCCCAAAAGTGAAATGAAATGTAGTACCAAACATATTAATTAAGATCTCATTTCTTCTTCTGGTATAATATATTTTTAAGGTGATTTATTTCATTATTTTATTCTATTTGCTTTTAATTTTGTATACTCTTTCCCGGTTTAGATTTCAATGTGTGAAAAGGGCGCGTAATTCAGTTGAATAACTACTGAACTATAAGCACTTGTTTTAAAATAATCACTTTTCATTAAAATATAAGCACTTATTTCTTTATAGTCATTGACCCAAAAAATGGGTTAGTGAAACTTTTAGGTTTGACTTAAGTGATAATATGAGTGTCAGGATAGAGGAAATTTCAAAAGAGCAGTGGGGGTCGAATTCTGGAGAGGATTATTGAAGCTAGATTTGAGGAATTATTATGTTGATTAAGATTAATTTCATATTTATGCGAACACTTTTAAGAAAATAATCAGAGTTCTAGAATAAAAAAAAGTCTGTGTTAAAAGTTTTAGTAAATCAACATTAAATTATTTATTTAAAAAAGAGTTTAACATTTTTCATATTACAGAAAATAATTTTATCTTTTCTCTTCACATGAGTTCATATAATAGTGTGTGGTGTGGGTTCATATATGAGAAAAGAGAGAAAAAAGGAAAACATAAATTTTATACACTTTTAGAATTTAGATATATACATCCGGCACTGGGTAGGCGTCAGCCCCCATACATGGTCTTACGACTTTGCGGAGACCTTAAGGCCCGAGCCATCAGTGAGATACCACTCTGGAAGAAAAATATTTTTATTTTCTATAACATGAAGAATATTGAATAGTAAAAAAAACTATCCAATTCGTATAATATGAATTCTTGTTTGAAAAAAAAAATTCTATTATTTTATTTTTCTTATACTGTATATTTTAAAGGTTATTTAAACAATCTAAATTGAGGGCCCTGTGTTTTTTGAAGTTTGAATCAAACTTGGGAGGAACGAACCCTTTCTTCCAAAAGTCCACCCAAACAGAAAGCCTGAACCAAATTTCCAATTCAAAGAGCGCGTGGTGTTCAAACTCATAGAAAAGCGCGTGGCATGGAACGATTAAACACATTCCAAATCTGCAACACTCCAAACTCCTCCATATAAGTGTTCCCAAGTCCTTCAATCTTAAACTTCTTCCATTCCATTCGATTCCTTTTCTTATCTCTTTTTCTGTGTATTCTTTATTCCCAAGTTCTTCAATCTTCAACTTCTTCCATTCCATTCTATTTTTATTTTATTTTTTTTAGTTTCTACCCTCTACTCTTCAAAACTTCCACTTTTAAAACCCATTGCCATTACCCTTCAATGAGTTGAACATCATGGGCTTTTTCCGGCGACTCTTCGGCGGAAAGAAGCACCGTACTCCTCCATCCGGAGCTTCTGACGGGTCGGGTTCCAAACCCGGCAAGGACAAAAGGAGTTGGAGCTTCGTTAAACACAGCACCAGGGACAAGTCCAACTCATTATCAAACCTCAACCACGACCTTGACCTCTCCACCGACTCCTTGGACGCCAATAAGCATGCCATCGCCGTCGCTGCCGCAACCGCCGCCGTAGCAGAGGCCGCACTCGCCGCCGCTCACGCCGCCGCAGAGGTGGTCAGACTAACCAGCGGCAATAGCAGCAGGGCCGCCACCGCGGCTCAAGTCCATCGTCAGTTGGCGGAGGAAGCCGCAGCCGCCGCCGTGAAGATACAATCGGCGTTCCGAGGTTACTTGGTACGTGAATTTGTTTTTTATTAGTTTTGTGTTAATGTTTTTTATTTTTGTTTTTACCACGATGTCTTCGAAATTTTACCATAATGTCCCTGGAATCCATGATGGTAAAATTTTGTTTGTCTAAGGATTTTGGATTTTTAACGTTGTTCAATGTAATGTAACATAAGATTATAAATATTGATAGATTAAATAGATGTTTATTTATAAACAAAAATAATTTGTTGTTGTTATTACAAGCAAATGAATCAATTGGTAATGAATTAGTGATCTTAAGTTTGGATCCCAATTTGTTATTCATGTAATTTTATCCAGCTCGAATAGATTTTATCGAGTAATCCATGAATCAATTGATAAAAAAATAGAGTAAACACCTTTTTTAGTCTCTGTCAATATCTACGAAGTCCTTTTTAGTCCCTGGCAATAAAAAAAGATCAAATTGGTCCCTGAAATTATAAAAAAGGTCATGTTAGTCCTTATGTCAACTCCCAAATATGTAGAGTGGCCCTTTTCTTGTACTTTCTGGGACCAATTTGATCATTTTTTATTGCCAGAGACTGAAAAGGACTTCGTAAATATTGTCAGGGACTAAAAAGGATGTTTACTCTGAAAAATAATAATTTGTTGTTCGAAATATTTAAAGAATGAGCATAGTCAAATGTACAGTGTATTTTTGATTGACTAAATTGGAGTATTTATTATTTATTATTTTTTCAATTCTCTCCCATATTTTTAAGGCGTCAGCGAATTTCAAATTTGTTGACTCTCTCTGTCTGTAGTTGCTTTCCGCCCATTTATTTTTCTCGTTGAGATAGAAATTTTTTTCTCCCTTGCTGTTTTTCTCGGGAAACAAACACTAGTCAAATATTGCTTCATTTTCAACCTTGGTTCTTTCTTCTCTTTAATTTTTCACCCATCGAAAGCAAACTGTTCCGTGCCACAACACCCACACCTTGTCTGCTTCCCAAATATATATATAAAATTAATTTAATACCAACTTCTTTATAGTTTATGGTAAGACTCTGGTAAATGTTTTGTTTATAGAGTTCGGTGTTTTGAGTTCCACCGACAAATTTGGCACAGAATAATATATATATATATATACATGGAGCATGATATATTTACCACCAAAACATTTATCACATTTACAACCAACCTAATCATCGTTGATTTCTGTCAAGTTAACGGTTATAATTTATTGAATTTATTGAAAATTAATAATTAATTAATAAATGCGACCTAATAATTTTCAAGAAATTATAAACGTTAGATTGACGGAAATTAACGGTGATTAGGTTGGTTGTAAATATGGTAAACTTTTTTGGTGGTGAGTATATCCTTCCCATATATATATATAGTATGATATTTTTACAGCCATGTAAGAATTAAAAGTCTTACATCAAATCTTGATCATTGATTTTTATATTTAAAGGTTCAAATATCTAATAAATTAGAATTATTAGATATAAATATGATCAACAATCAAGAATGAGAGTACAACTTAGACTGAGGTAAAATAATCCTTATTCATATATAATATATTACTTTTATTTTTCCATTTTATGTTATCACTATTCACTGCCTTATGTATACCGATCCTAATTATCTCTTTGAGATAAAGACGAGTCGATCCTATCGTATGTGCGCAAGCTTAAGTCTTTGTGTTGAGATATATAAAACTATTAAAAAAGTCCTCACCCACTAGCTTAAGCTTTTGGGTTGAATTGGTTCTTTACATGGTATCAGAGCCTCGTGTCCCGGGTTCGAACCTCGCCGCCCCTCACTTTATTTCTAGTGAAATTTCTTTCATCGCACAGGTAGGTGGGCTTGTGCATTGTCCACCCTTCAAGTCCAGTGGGCTCTAGTGTGAGGGGGTGTTGAGAAAACCATTAAAAAAGTCCTCACCCACCAGCTACCAGCTTAAGCTTTTGGGTTAAATTGGTTCTTTACACTTTGTTCCGGCTATGCTACGGGACTAATCCTGAGTTGGGCTTAAAAGCTCTGGCCCTGCTCAAACTTGTATTTGATGGGAATGGAAAGTAGTTTCTGTCTCCACTTTACTTAGCTTGTGTTGCCAAATGAACTACACATATTGAGTCTGCCTTATTATCATGTGCTCGATACAATTTTTGTGTTTTGTCACTTGTGTTTTGGAGTGTGTTCTGTTCTGTCTTATCTTCTTGCATGTATGTGATTTCGACGCACTAGAAAATGTTAACAGTGAGAGTAGAGTGGTATGATGTTGGGACGAGTCTGTAAGTTACACAATTCAGCTCAGAATGACTCCATTTTGGAATTTGAGTGTTTGAGAAAACAAGGGCCAAGAAAATTTAAGAAAGGGGAAAACGGGTAATTTTTTAATGAAGACAAGACTTTCCCACACATTTGTTGAGTAATGAATAATGATACTTTCCTTTCCGGTGGCCAAAGTAGGATGTCCCTTTGTACCCCAAAAAATAACACCAAAGGTGAAGTGGCATTGCGCCAATCCCATCATCAACCATGTTTTTGGTCATTGGTCTAAGTGCTGGTTGTTAGGTTTCCTATTACTGAATATAATAATAGGAGGGTCACGAGCAAGTTGGTAACTACTGGTTTGTTGATTTGTGTTAAACTTGTCTTCTTGGTCTTTGACAAGTGAAAAGCCAAGAGCCATACTTTTGTGGAGGAAAAAGTAGAGTTTTTCACCTTACTTTAAGATGATAAACTGATATTCTAACCTTCACTTGAGAGAAAGCAACTCGGGTTAAGGACACACGGACCAACAGTTAGGCTGTAAATGTATTATCTTTCTATAAAAGCTGAGGCTACAATATTCTTTGAACTTATATTTTCACCTTTTGCCGTCTTGCTGATAATGCAAGTCATGTCAAGGTGGTTGTCATGTAACACATAAATAATTTTATTATATTTATTAAGGGGAATACATTTCATTACATGAGACAAAATTATTTCATGCACACGCAAAAAAGTAGGTGAGACCCACTAAAAAAATAGAAAAAAAAGTAAATCTCACGTATTTTTTTTTTTATGCGTGCATGAGACAATTGTCTCATATGATATGAGAAATGTATCCCCATTTATTAATATGACCTCTTATGTGAAAAAATTTGAACTTTGAAGTATAGATAATGCACAGTTTTTTTTTTTTATGGTTATTTTCTGCTTAATTTTTATTTATTTATTAGAAGAATGGAAAAGTAAGAATCGAACTCTAGAATACTTGTTGATATACTATGATAGCATATCATGTAATTAATTCTTCTAAAAGATTAAGCGGTTGAGTAGACCCATAGAATAATTTTAATGTGTCTTAAGAGGAATGCAACATAGGAAGCTTCAAAGAATAAAACGGAGCATCAATAATAGATTGCTTTTCACTGTTTATTTATGTTTACTAATGATTTCGCCCATCAGCCTCAATGCCCCTCCTCTCTCTCTCTCTCTCTCTTTCTCTCATGTCTTTTTACTTTTAATATTCCCTACCTTTATGGCATTCCATGCTTAACTATCCCCTAACTTTTATTTTATTATGTTGAGGGTCTGTCTTAATTTTTGAATGATGCTTAATGTTAATTGTTCTTTCTTTCCTCCTGAAGAAATCTAATGGGTCAATTTCATTGTTAAGCATTATTAGCTAATGATGTGAAAATTTAATTTTTACTGATAATTTTGAGATGAATTTGGAAGGCAAGGAGGGCACTGAGAGCACTTAGAGCATTGGTGAAGTTGCAAGCATTAGTGAGGGGCCACATTGTAAGAAAGAAAACTGCAGATATGCTCAAGCGCATGCAAACATTGGTGCGACTGCAGGCCCGGGCACGTGCAAGTCGTGTGGACTTGTCAGATAATATGCATTCTTTCAAGTCTTCACTTTCTCATTTCCCTGTAAGCCAAGCAAACATTTTTTTTTTTTTGTTCTCTTATTTGTTGTTCTGATTCTTATCTTAGTAAACTAAGGCTAACTTGTTAGAAAGGCTATGCAATAGTACTTTTCTCTATGGTTTTTTTTTTTTATATATATATCACCCCACCAATTGTTGCAATTTGGAATCTGCTGTAAATTAACTTTCCAACCTGTCACAAACAGCATGTTGCAAATTAAGCTGGCGCTAGAGCATGGATGATGATCATTAGTTTATTACTATGCTAAGAATGGCTCATAAATAATAATCATTAATCTATGATTTTTTATGCTTAAATAATTCCAGGTCCCTGAAGATTATGAGCCCCCATTCCGTTCCTATAGTACCAAATTTGATGGATCTTCTATCCTCAAGGTACACATTATTCTTCCCATAAACTGGATTACAGGATTCATGGATGATTTAAATGAAAATAGTGTAACTGTGCTCTGAAACTTTTTCTAATATTGACTGGGATTTTACTTAAAAGTAAACACATGTCCATTATTAGTATTTGAATCGGTTAATTAATGGTGCAATTGAAGAAAGTTTACAACTCAAATGTGAAGGTGGATTTCAACCATTTTATTACCAGCAGTACAAGTTTTTTATTCTGCTTTTTTATGATTCTTGTAGATGGTGGACCTGTTGATTTAATTTCACCTTTAATTGCATTCTCCATTTTCAACTTGCAGAGATGTAGTTCCAATGCAAATTTCAGGGATATTGACTTAGAAAGAGCCCGGTTTGATTCCAATTGGTTAGAGAGTTGGATGGAAGAAAGTGTGTGCAACCAAACTGGTGATGCTTCATTGAAAAATGGGCACCCTAATGATGATAAGGGTGACAAGATTCTTGAAGTAGATACTTGGAAGCCACACTTGAACACCCACCATAGTAGCAGCTCATTTCAGACAGCACATCATTACTTGTCTTCTGATTACAATAATGAGAATTTTATGGCATATAAGTCTCCATCAAAACGTTCTTCAAAAGTTCAAAATCCGTGTCTCTCTTCTAGGGAAGTGTTACCACTAGGCTCTCTGAAGTTCTACAAAGGAAAAGAAGAAGTGGTTTCAAGAACTGTTGAGAATAGTCCACAAGCATTTTCTGCCTCCTCTAGACTTGGAAGTGGTGGAAGGAGAGGTCCTTTTACACCCACTAAGAGTGAGTGTTCGTGGGGTTTCTTCAGTGGCTACTCGGGTCATCCCAATTACATGGCAAATACTGAATCTTTTAGAGCTAAGGTTAGGTCACATAGTGCTCCAAGGCAAAGGGTGGAGTTTGAGAGATATGGTGGTTCAACTAGAAGGTCTCTTCAGGGACTTTGTGATGCAGGGCCTAATTCAGATGGGTATTCTGATTTCAGGAGCAATGCCTATCCAACCACAAGCTGCTTGAACATAATTGGGAGCAGCAATTTAAGGTGACAATCCAAGTTTTATGAACGAAGACAATTCCTCTCTCGTTTTCGGAAAAGATAAAATAAAATTGGAAGAGTCATTATTTTCCTTTGCTTGGGTTTTATGTGTACGACAGTAGTTGTAGAATTGTAAGTATTTGACATGTACTCTTTTGTCCTTTCACGATCAATGGCCACATTGTTGAAGTTATAAATGTATTGATTCACAAATCAAATGATTGGGTTTTGCTGAATTTTGATGTGTTGAATTGTTACACACAATGTTTTGAATGATTTCATTAATGCAATGTTGGTTTTGAATGTGTGATTCGCCAGAACAAATGATTTAGTGACTACAATTTAGAGATAGTGTCCTAAAGTTGAGTTTGTTTTAGTGCAAGTGTAAAGTGATGTTTAAATTACAGAACTTCTATTTTTTTTTTATTATAATAGAAAACTAAGAAACAGAATTGTTCCATCCTAGTGGATTGAGGTTGCTGTTGGAATTGTGTCTGTGGAGGAGACCAACGAAGGTTGTGGATCTGCACAGACAAGAGACTAGAAGAAAAAAGGGATGTGTGTGCATATGCAATGACAACAATAAAGATTAGGGTCTGTAAAGATTAGAGGTGTGTGTGAGGTCCAAAACAAGAATGTTTCTGTTAGACCAAAACTTAAAACTATAAGTTATTCAATCATTATTTTCAATATTTTAGTATGTATGCACTAATCCAGTTTAGTGATGAACTAATTTTCGCAAAACAGTCGATTTAACTTCATTTCAAAATCCTCTGAACATGCATGTTAATAAAAGCCTTCGGGTTGACCAGGTTGACTTGCAGTTCCTTGCATATCTGCACAATTGTTTTCAGTCTGCTATTCTACTAGTAGTTAATAGTTATTGATTGCTAAATGACAAGGTGATTGTTACTTGTTAGTTGTTAATGCTGGAATCTTTTGCAAGAGGAACCTGTAGGCTGTAATATACACTATATGACAATTCTTAAACAACTTTTACTATTAAGCCCTTTCTTTGTACTTTGGGACTAATATGAACTGCAGAACCCTCAACTTTATATCTTATCCTCATATCCTGTTAATTTTCTTATAAGAATAGTCTTATTAGAGAATATCAGAGATAAAACCTTTATTAGTAAACCTTCGTCTTCAACATGGTTAGTCCTATAAGTAGCTTTTCTTGTTTTGATGGTTTCTTTAGTCTATTTTAACCAGTAATCTTTTCTTTCTAATGAATTGGACTAGTTCAGAGAAATTTCTTAGAAAAGCTGCAGCCAATTTGTCCAATTTGATTTGCCACTGCCATTAAATGTACATGTTTGAATATCTTGTATCAAAAGAAGTAACATTGGTGGATAAAAATATTCTGTTTGAACAGAAAACCAAATTTTGAGATATATGGCAACTATTTAGTATTTAGAGACGTATGTTTTGTTTAGCATTCCTATTTTCTTTTATCCACTGTATTCATCCTAGATTTATTTATCCCATGTCAATTCAGAGAAATTATATGTTTGGGAATTCAACTGTGATTGATAAAATCCTGTATCGTGAAGGAATGAGCTAAGTATGGAACATCCAAGTATGAAAACTCATAAATCAAATTGGTTTATTGTTTAGCCCATGTGAATTCCCTGATCGCATAGCATATATCAGAGTCAATGGTTGATTGGTATTGGCTGAGATGATGTTTGGTGTTCGGTTTAAAGAGTGCCACGAAGGAATGAGAAGTATGGAATATATAAGTTGGACTCCCTTGGCCGCATAACACTATATCCAAGCTTTCTTGGTGGTCCTGTTTTGCAGTAATGGACTCCAAACAAAGGACAAAAGAGTGCACATATGTAGTGACAATGTGACATATGACAGCATCCTTGTTCTATTCTGTTGTGCATTATTTTGTTCTGCTTTTTGTTTTTCTTGTGACTATATATGTGAGGGAACTGTGGCCTTGGATGCTCACAGTAGGCCATACAGTTGAAGACAAAATTGATTATGAAAATGATGTAGAAGTAGGAGTTGCACCATCTGATACTGATAAACTATTAGTTTAACAACCGAAAAGAGTGTAAAAAACTTGATATTCTCTAAGCATAATAACTCTCTTGAATTAAAGAGAAAAAAGGAATACAGATTGACAAATAAAAATAAAGTAGAAAATAAAACAATATAGTTTATGTTGGGCACTTATAATCATGAAGTAGTTGAATTGTTTTTCACCTGTCCTGGACATGTAGGACCGTGAGAAACAACAGTATAAAGAAAGAGAACTGGTGAATAATATGTCTACGTGATTCACTTTATTTTTTAAACTAAAAATTGAACAATGTATAGCATTAATTTGTTATAATTTTGTAGGTACTTAAACAACTGTATAGCATGTAGTTTGTCACAAGTAGGAAATCTATTAGAAGTAGGACATATTTGTAAATATTGAGAGTTAGTTATTTTTAGCTTTCTATTGCTGGGAATATAGGCATGTAGTTTGTCACGGGAAAAGTCAGTTTCTGCTTTATATTTTGTGTTGTTGATTATGGTATCAATAACATAGGCTAAGGCTATTTTGTCATCAATTCTGTTTTGTGCCATAATTTTGCTATAATTTGCTTTCAATTAGTGCCCTCATTGGCTCTCTCTGATAGGTATCAGAGATTAGTAGAATGAAAACTGATGGAATTTGTAAATGTGTTATTAACTCAGCCTCTTAATCAACAACTATATCATTAACATTCTCTAACTGTGAAATTACAAGTAATTGAAAGCAAAATTACAAGTATGAGAAATACGTAATGACAATGTGAAACAATTCACAATAAGAAATAGCTGCTAAATGATGTACTACCCAGAACAGTTAGAGAGGTCTGGTTCTCTCCCAATTCACCCTAAAAGGATGCCCAACTTTCCAAATTCCAAAGATCCTATTCACACGCTCCCTACCCCTATATGTAACAAACTCAGTAATTGTAATAACACCCATTTGCTGGAAGCGTGACCTCCCTTCCTTACATTCGGTTACTGTCCACGTGATGCACCTGACGCACCCCACTATCCACGTCAGCAGCCTTCCCACTAAATGTGCTCAGTGTTGCTGACTTATCATTCAGGATCCCTTCATGTTGTTTCTGCCTTCTTTTGTACACCTTCCCAAATTTTTCACTGCCCACGAACGTATCAATACTCCCCCCCAATTTAACCACCTTGTCCTCAAGGTGGAACAATGGAAATTGATTATTAATCATGAAAAATTCTTCCCATGTGTTTTCAAAAGAAGGTAAGTGTTTCCATTTAATCAACACTTCCAGATTTCCATGAGAGTTGTACCTCCACTGTAAAACATCCTCTGGCTCATATTGTAATTCCCATTCAGCAGATATAATAGGTGGTAAAGGCTGGGTCATTGTTGCAGGTGAGATAGCTTTTTTCAATAAAGAAACGTGGAACACTGGATGTACTTTGCAATCAAGTGGAAGATCTAGCTTGTAAGCCACTTCGCCAACTCGAGCAACAATTTTGTAAGGGCCATAAAACCGCGGACTCAACTTTTCATTAATCTTGTGTGCCAATGTCTTCAACCTGTAAGGTTGGAGTTTTAAATATACCATGTCACCCACTTCAAAAACCAATTCCCTCCTCTGCTTATTGGCTTGAACCCGCATACGATTTTGGGCTATCACCAAGTGGTCATGCATCTCCTTTAGAACCACATCCCTTTCTTGCAACATTGCTGAAACATCTTCAACCACACAATTCTGGTTGCTGTCCCTGAACAGAGTAGGTGGCTCACAACCATATAAGGCCTTGAATGGTGTCATGCCGGTTGAATCCTTGTATGTAGTGTTGAACCAATATTCAGCCCAAGGCAACCACTTGGGCCATTGTTTCGGTTTTGGGCTACAAAAACACCTTAGATATGACTCTAAGCAACGATTGACCACTTCCGTTTGCCCATTAGATTGGGGGTGATATGCAGTGGAGTATTGTAACTTGGAGCCAGCCATTTTAAACAACTCAGACCAAAATGTGCTAAGAAAGATCCTGTCACGATCAGACACAATGGTTTTAGGGAACCCATGTAACCGTACTACTTCACGAATAAAGACTGATGCAATGTCTTTAGCTGAATAAGGGTGACAGACAGCCGTGAAGTGAGCATACTTGGTCATTCTGTCAACTACTACAAATATAGTGTCCACCCCAAACGCCTTGGGTAGGCCACCAATGAAATCCATTGACACATCAGCCCACACTTGTGTAGGTAAGGGCAAAGGCTGCAACAACCCTGCAGGTGATAGATTCTGAATTTTGTGCTGTTGGCATACATGACAAGCAGCAACATGATCCTTAATCTCCTTCATCATTCCCTGCCAGTACACCACTCCAGCAATGCGTTTGTAAGTCCTGAAAGCTCCTGAGTGTCCTCCCACCTGTGAATCATGAAATTCCCGGAGTATCAAGGGAATTAAATGGGACTGTTTTGGAAGGACCAATCTGTTCTGATACAGTAGCCTCCCTCCACACAAAGCAAACCCATTATGTGAAGCAGGATCTAGTAGGAGATCTTGCAGTATAGTGCGCATTACTGGGTCAGCCCTTATTTCATCATCCAGATCATTGAAATGTGCCAAATCAACCTGTGAGATAGCAGAAAATTGCATTTTCCTGGAAAGGGCATCAGCCACCTTGTTCTCCTTTCCCGGCTGGTATTGAATTTCAAAATCGTAACCCAGCAACTTGGAGGCCCACTTCTGCTGTTCTGCATTTAAATTCTTTTGATCAGTGAGGAACTTTAAACTCTTCTGGTCAGTTTTCACCACAAAGTGACTACCCATTAAATAATGGCTCCATTTTTGGATGGAAAAAACAATTGCCATCAACTCCTTTTCATAGACAGATTTGCTCATAGCTCTCTGAGAAAAACCTTGGCTTAGGAAAGCCACTGGTTTATTCTCTTGCATCAAGACAACCCCTATGCCCTTACCAGAGGCATCTGTTACAACCATAAATTGCTTGTGAAAATTGGGTAAAGTTAACACTGGAACTGAAATCATTGCTTTTTTTTAATCTGTCAAAGGCTTCTTGTGCATCTGGGCCCCACTTGAAATTATCTTTTTTCAACAACTCAGTCAATGGTCTTGCAATCTTCCCATAATCCTTTACAAACTTCCTGTAGTAACCAGTAAGACCTAAAACCCCCCCTCAACCCCGTAATATTGGAGGGTACTGGCCACTTTTCCAT